AATATGTGAGCATTGATAATGGCATTCTTACAAGAGAAATGTTGACCGATGAGCAAATTAGAGACGCCGTAACCTCATCTACAGCTTTAAGCGATAATGAGAAAGATCACGATTTAGGTGAAACTGACACTAATGCTGTTCCAACCATTTGTAAAATGACAAAAAAAGTGTTTTTTTGGAATTTTCTACTATCACGCCAAGTTCCTAATCCTATCTGGCAGTCATTTTGTGATCTTGAAAACTACATAAATAAAAATTTACTCTTGCAGCAGAAATGTACAAACAAAAATTGCAGACTTTATGATTTAGATTTCAAATTGCGTTCTGTTTATCTTTTTGGGTTCTTTTTAGTTATACCTACTAACTTCTACTACTAAATGTAAAAGTAACGAAATAAAATACACCACGTGTTTTTGTGTTATTATTATTTTCAAGTTTGTTATATCCGGACTCAACTGTATATCAAAAATGGTTAGACAAAGGTATACGATTTTATACATTAAATATATTAGAATTAGGCGCAGAATTAAAAAATGTAATAATATGTATATAGTGTTGTATTATAATATAATTTCAAATTTGTCATAAACCGTTAGACTTAGGCATAGGATATTGCACATGAAATACATTTAGAATTTAGAGTGGAATTGAAAAATGTAATAATATATAAGGTGTTCCATTTAAAATAAGCAAGTTGATACCTACATCCGGTATAACCAGAAGTGTGGTCATCTTGAAAATATTTTAGGCCCCAATGACTCCGGCACACTGTCCAATTTTCAAATTTCTCCCATGTTCAGTTTGACAGATATCGATCGCGGCAGTTCCCGGTGGGATATCCTGTATAAAGCAGTTTCACTTTAAAATTTGGAGTATGTAGTTGAAAAGGGGTGCTCATGTACTTATGTCTGTCGGACTTTTGCATTAGTTTTAATTTTCCCTTAAAGTAGTACATACAAAACATAGTAGTTCTAGAAAAAAATAAATTCGGTTTGTTCATAGAATGATGCTAGAAAACATTTACAAACTTGGTGATTGTGTCGTTTGAGTCCCTCTGAATTTTTAGTTTCATCTTAAATAACACTAAAGTAAATGGTTTCAGCCAAAAAATTTCTGGATGGTCCATAAATTAAGCCAAAAAACACTCACAAAGTTTGAGGAAAATCACCATTTTCAAGCTAAATTCCGAGTGTGTAAGTTTGAATTTTTCGAAAGGTTTATGGTCGATCTGAGACTTGCTCATTGAAACTGCTTAATATGAAACACTTTAAGAGACGAAAACAAAGGTGTTCCTTTATAGGTCGAATGTATGTTACTAATATCACCAGAATAAACTAGTCAGAGAATCAATAGTTTTCGATCAACATGAAATTATTTCTGAAATTAATATAATTTTATTAATTTTTCCTAAAAATGGTACATAAAATAACAAATAGAAGATATATATCGGATAACAATTTTATTTGCAACTTTTTTTTCTTCAGGATTGGCAGTGCTTCAGTACTGGCAGTTAGCGAGGGTATTGAGGCAAAGTGGCTGTTTGGTATGCCACTATATCATCTCGCAAGTTGGTTTTTTAAGAGTTGTGGAGTAAAAGCTTCAAATGTAATCTGTAACTAGTATCTTTTTTTTTATCAAACTGGCAAAGTTTTTACCATCCATTCTTAACCGGGTCATTTTCATGCCGCCACGAATTGTTCTACGTGATATTTCATTAGGTAAAATGCTGCTAGTTAGGAAGCCAGGAATTATTCAAAATTAATTACCAGTGACTTTCTTCTCTTTGCTTCTCTCGCTCAAAATTAATAATTAAGCAGTTCAGTAAAACATGCCCATAAATGAAAGGTTATCGTCTTAACCGTTTTGCAAATAATTACGACTTCCTATGTAAATTTATACGCTAATGTTACTGTTGTGTAGGAAAGTGCCTACTGCTGTAACTTTTTATTAATTAGCATGTATGTGGTCGTACTTTATACTATTTTACGATTAATTCTTCCTAAAAAAGTCAAAATCATTAATAAATTATTTTCTTAATGTATGCTTAATGCCTCATTGCTTAATGTTTTATTGTTTGGATTGAAATATTTAGAAATGTGTTCAATAATTATTAAGTTGCCCATGCTTTTCCGATTTATGTTATTAATTATGTAATAATTCTATGCTGTTTAAATAATTAAATTGATAATAATATTTTGTATTTTAGAATTTCATAATTAGTAACCTAAACCTAAAGTTCGATAGCATGAGCAATTTAGTAATTCTTCAACACAATTCCAAATGTTCTAAACCAAGCAATTCAAAATTTCCAACTCTAAGCAATTGATATTGTTTTTTAGAATATGATATCTGAAAAGAAAAATTGTTTCCAAAATTTCTTTTTGTATTTTCACTTGGTTTTACAAGTTTCTGCTTTGGAAATTGAACCACTTTGGATGCTTAATTAATTAAGTACTCAATAACATTTAAATTATTTCCGTTTTGTATAAAACTTGAAAACAAATTTAAGCAAAGCGTAAGCAAACAAGCGTGTACACTTTTTTTGTGGGAAGTGGAGAGCCACCAAAAATTCTTTGAAACAATGGACTATTTGAACATAATAGTGAATAATCAAGTCAAAAATGTAACTTTCAGCTCCAAATAAATATCTTTATATTCTTAATATCTATTACTTTCGTATTCCGTAAGTCTTACAGTGTATCATCTTATACATTGAATTAAGAGAGATATTTTCGTCGAAGAAAATGTATTTATTAAAATAAATAATAGTTAAAAAATAATAATTTAGTTTTGTTTTTTGTTTAAAGTTCGTTTTAGTACAGTTTTTTGTATACAGGGTGGTGGTAAAATTTTTCCATATGGTGCGAACTTAAGACCGATTTTTACCAGAAACAAGCGAAACGCAGTTTATCGAAACTAAATTTATGTTAAACGCCGAAATTAAACTTGTATAACGACGGGCAGTTTTCACCAGCGCTTCGGTACGTTTAAAAAACTGGGTTTAGTGAAACGCAGTTTAAGCAACTGCAAAAGTGAGAAATATTACGGAACCATTTGGGTCCATGACGTCAATAACCCGTTATCAAACCCACTTTCTGTCCGAACTAACCTTATAATTGTAAAGTTTGCTTTGTTTATGCACGGTTTGTGCATTCGTGTATGGCTTATGGCTATGGTATACACGTTTTTATTAGATTTACTATTGGAAAAGTTACTGAAACAAATAGAAAATTAAGTTTTGCGTACGCCCATTCAGATCGTTATAAAATTCATTGAATAAACAAGGCAAGCGGAGGAGTACTTCGGCAGTGAGGAAGTATTTTACTGGGTAAACAGCTTGGCTGGAATCTCACAAAACACGGACCGCTAGAATACCAGCTCTATCGCGGCGTTAAATCTATGTACAATTGAATGTGATGTAGTTGTGCTAAAACCCTTAAAATCTCTAGCAAAAAAATATAATTGGCGACACAATTACAGATAGCCCAGATAAAGTACATAAGTAACAATAAAATGTTTGTCGACTTTTTCGAAAATTAAGTATAAACTGGCCTACTAACCAGCAATACTGGCCATTTCTATTTTATTATTTTTCGGTCGACCTACAACCACAACAATTCTTTAGACAGTAAGGTTAGATCAAGTCTTTAAACGGCGTTTAAGGCAGCGGTCCCACAGCAACCACCGTCATCAACTATCACCCACTACCACCGCCTAAAATTATGGAATCTGCAACGAACGGTCTGACAGCAATTAGTCACCGGCTTCCGCTGTTTCATTCATCAGTTTATAACCTCACTTTTTATGACAGTGCTCAAACGAACCCGCATGCGCGCATTCGTCGCCTTCTACCAAACTGCAAAATTTCGAAACGGTGGTTAGCAGTGGATGACTCGTGAAGCTTTCTGTGAGACCGTTCAATGGGAATCGCATATGTTGGAAATCTGCTTGATGGTCACCGGTGGTTCTGTCGGACCGCCGCCTTAAGCTATAAACGCCCAAACTCGGCCAGTTCGTTTCTTTAAACGCGTTTAAGCACAAACTAAGTTTATGGTTCTAGTGAAATCCGTTTCAAACCTCAAACTGAGGTTTAGACGTTAAACTGGTCGCGTGGTGAAAATTGGCGTAAGTAGGCACACGTATCCGGGACTGACACCCAACAACAGTTTATCTTAAGATTATGTTTATGGGAACTCAACTTACAACTTACATCTCTATTAGCAGTTTTATATTTTTTGGTCGGACAGTTTTAGCCTAGTTTTAGTCATTGAACTTATTAGTTGAACAGACTTCAGATACATTGTGCTTTATTAATGCGAATAAAGTCCTTTATTAGGATTTTGATTATTATTATTATTATTGTTAAGTTTGTATTTTTGCCTAGATTTTGTTTGCAAATTCAACTTTGTGATGGGTATAGATCATTCTTTTAAAGTCAGCCATTGAAATAGCAGTTCCAAACGTTCGGGGCTACATTTTGAAATGGCTGTAATATGACTACAGTAATTCTATATGCTTACTAATGCAACTGTTTGTTCCAGCTGAGGTTGACGATCCGGGTTTTATCTGTCTCGACGAGTAATCTGGTGGTTTTCAAGCCTTCAATTCGTCTCGTTTCTCAAATCCCGCGTTTTTGTATTTTTGTATCATTTATACAGGGCGGTTTTTTATATTGAAACGCTTAAATATTTCCTTCCTATAAGGTTTTGGATACATAATTCTCAATTTTTGACGTGCTATTCGAATCTCCAATAAAACTTTGTGGTTCCCATTTGAAATTCGCAAGTTGGCCCCTACCTAGCCTACAAGGTCGAAGTAGGCGTTGTTTTTCTGACACGAACAAACTTTCCCCTCTCAGATATGAACTTTTGATTTGGAACGTTTTTTCCTAGGATCACTCGTTTTCGAAATAATTAAGCGTTTTAAGATAAAAAAAACCACCCTGTATACTATTGTATGATTAGCAACAATTGCGGGCTAGATCATGTACATTCCAGCTTCTCAATGTTTGAAACCTATTCCCACAGGACATTGGCACTTCAGTTTTATTTGTTAAACGTATGAAATAAACAAATTAAATGTATTTATTTTAATAAGGTAGCGGGTAGAAACTTCTATGTCTATAAGGAACAGTTCTACTTCAGGGACGCGACCCTGCCTACGCGAGCCTTGCTGTCTCCTCGTACATTATTTGAGGAAAGCAAGTCCCAAACCATAGATCCCAACCAACAACCTCATTCCTAACACATCGTTCCCCTTCATCAGCTAACCAGTCAAGCGGAGGCCATCTATGTCTAGGAATGAATATATACCAGTTGAGACAGAATTTAAATATGTATTCTATATCGCAGTTAAACGTTGCTGTTGGCCACATGGAGATAAGGGTTGGAACGTATTGTACGCTTGACAGGTTTGTAAAATAGAGCTTCCGAATTGTCGACGTTGATCTAGCTAGGTCGAGAACGAAGACTTAAACTTCTTCACAACAGAAAGTTTGCCGATGAATGTAAGGCAATAAACGAAACGTTTCAAAAAGGAGAATTCATGAATAATGTCTATATCAGTTAATTGAAAAAGAGTCAGTGGTTTTCTGGGCAATAGACGAACTAGTTGATGTATTCGTTCATGTTGATAGTGGTCCACACAACTGGAGAAAATCGATTTTAGTTAACGCTAAGTTCTGAAAGGACCAACTTGTGCACCTTTTTAAAAATGATCCTCTGAGCATTTGGAAACCGAAGGGTTTACGGTGGATTTTATCACCATCTTGTAATCCCGTCATGTTTACATTTTTGCTGTGTCGAGAAGTCAAGAAGAACAAACATTGGTCTTAAGCTAACATTGTGATGAATATGAGATTGGAAACAATGCAGCGGAAACGATTCGGTTGAAGGGTTTAGACTTGACAGATCGGATGCAGTTGCTTCGTCAAAGAGACACGATTTGAAGTTAGGTCATTCTTTAGTAATTTGACGAATAGTTTGGTAAATGTGATTTTAATGTTCACTTGTAACAGCCACCTGTCTATATCGCCCGTCATCTATAATAAGAAAAAAAAAATGCCAAAGATGTATGCCTTTTGATTGCGAATAATTTGGCAATCAAATAGCATTTGACCAACTGAAATATACTGAGACAGTGTTTGTTTTTGGCGATTTTGAGGCGATTGTACCGATATTTGGTGTACGCATCTCGCTATGTTAGTTATGCACTATATCACAGAGCTGCTCTCCACAGTCTAAGGTTTGCACCTGGCGACAACATGTCATTACTGCTGTTACACGTTTCTATGTCTCAAATATTCGTCTATTTCGAAACTGAACCGTGTCTCCCGAGGTTCATTCTCTGAATATCACTCTTCTCTGAACATATTCCAAGAATGCTCTTAGCTATACGATTAAATTGAATACTCTCATACACTAGTTTAAATACTCTTCTTCTGAGATAGGCATCCCGTCTTCCATCACACATTTTGCCCACAGACGCAGCGCACATGGACGCTGCAGCCGCTGCTTGCGGTAGACGCATGCATCCATCCCACAAGCGAACCCATACCTTAAGTCTACTTTTTTAGATTTTTTCTGTGCAGATTTCTTGATTGTAATTTGCTGCGATCATCTGCTATCTTTTTTTACTGAT